GGAGTACGACGGCTCGGCCCCGGTGGTGTCGAACGCTTCGTGCACGACGAACTGCCTTGCGCCTCTGGCCAAGGTGATCAACGACAATTTCGGCATCGTGGAGAGTCTGATGACGACGGTGCACGCGACGACGGCGACGCAGCTGCCTGTGGACGGCCCTGCTAAGGGCGGCAAGGACTGGCGTGGTGGCCGTGGCTGCGGCCAGAACATCATCCCGTCGTCGACGGGTGCCGCCAAGGCCGTGGGTAAGGTGTTGCCTGTGCTGAACGGCAAGCTGACGGGCATGGCGTTCCGTGTGCCTACGCCGGATGTGTCTGTGGTGGACCTGACGTGCCGTCTGGAGAAGGCTGCGTCGATGGACGCGATCAAGGCCGCTGTGAAGGCCGCTTCGGAAGGCGAGCTGGCCGGCATCCTCGGCTACACGGAGGACCAGGTGGTGTCGAACGACTTCCTGCACGACAAGCACTCGAGCACGTTCGACGCTGATGCCTGCATTGCCCTGAACGACCACTTCGTGAAGCTTGTGGCTTGGTACGACAATGAGTGGGGCTACTCGAACCGTCTGGTTGACCTTGTGCTGCACATGGCCACGGTCGACATTTAAGCGTAGCGTAGATGTTTGCGGCAGACGTTGGTTGATTTGTTGATTTATATTTTGGTCAATGAATCCTAAGTTTTTGAAGCTGTTGCATGTATTGAATGATGCCTTTGCAGATTGAGTTTATGAAGCGGGTTGGGTAGCAGGTAATAGCACATGTATACTGCTTCGTACTTGCACGCAAGTTGTAGCTAATGAAGTTCCTGAGGAACAAGACTGCTGTCGAGCAAAGTCAACTCTACTTTTTACGAAGTGAATGAGGCACTATGTTGCGCATATCCGACGTGCTCTTCCATTGAAACCGAACGTCACTTGTTCTTTGACTGCCGCCGGGTTGCAGCTCTTTGGCATCTCATTCGTGCGGATTGAAACAGGTTCATTGTCCACATTTCGTGAGACATCAGAGTGGACGACTCGTGGACGGAACAAGGCAC